TTTTTTTTAATTTTAAAATGATCTATGGGTTTGAGGATGATAGTGGTGACCTCGGCAAGGGCTGTTTAAATGGAGTCATGAAAGAGAAAGCCAGGTTAGCATGAGTGAAGAGAGGGAGATAAGTAAATGATGAGAATGGGCATAAGGACTCAAGAAGTTTTGCTGTAAAAGAGAGAAGAGAGATACAATAGTAGCTGAAGTTAGAAGCACGGTCAAGATAAGTAAGTGTTGTGTTTGTTTGAGTTTTGTTTTTAAGTTGGGAGAAGCTCGAGTATGTTAAGTGTTGGTGGGAAGGATCTTGGGGGAGAAGGAGAGAGAAGGAGTTATTCATGGACTGCATAGGCACCAGGATGGTGGGAGAGGATGGTATCTCAAGCACAGGCAGAGGGCACCTCCTCCACTAAAATGAGATGTCAGGGAGGAAGAGGGCTGGAGAGTTGGGTCATTTGGCTGTCGGATAATGGAGAGTTGAGCAAATTCCTGCCATATGGCTTCCATCTTCTTTGTGAAATAAGTGAATGGATTATCTGCTGAATTGGAGGAAAAGTGGGCTACAGGACAATAGGTATCTCAGAAACCAGAAGTGGGAAATGGTTTCAAACCTTAATTTCAGAGAATGGGAGTGCACCAGAGATGTACAGAAAGCTTGCTCAGGTGAGGTTGGCATTCATGAATTTATAGTGTAATCAACCAATCTGTTCTATGTGATTGCACCTAGATTCCCTAGCACAGACATGAAAAAGCCAGGTGTTGAACTGGGGCCTTGGCAAATTAGCACCAACAAAAAGATGGGCAAGGGAGTTCATATTAAACAGAGATTCCTCCACTTCCATCTTTCACCATTTTCAAGATCCAGCAGTATTCTTTGCATGTATTTTTCCATTCATTCACAATTCATAAACATTTGCATATTGTAATGGCCCATCGATCTTGAGTAAGATAAAGAGAGGGGGAAAAATAACTTGAAAGGTTAGGGATTGAGACATGAGGGAAGGGAAAAGACTAGCTTGCTGAGCATTGGCTATTTTGCTAGATATTTACCAATCTGGTCTCATTTAATATGGGGTGGGTGACGACTGCTTCCCGATTCCTCTCTTTAACAAAATTTCAATGATGTCACTACTACTCTCTTTCTGAGACCATAGAATTAGTGGAAACACTCACCTCCCTGAGATCATACACTGTCAAGGCAATGGAAATGACGGACATGATTATGATGGCAAAAGCGTATTCCTTATAGTCTTCACTGAACCACAAACAGACACTGAAGAGTTGAAATACATAAAATGGATTTAGAACCTGTTGGCAGAAATAAAAACAGGAAGACAAGGGAGATTTTTAGGCGTCACACTTAGCTATTCATTGACTTGTTTGTTTTCATAATCATCTCCATAACATAAATGATCCCACACAATTTCCATATTCTTCTTTTTATTATATTTATTCAGCAATTGTCATGTGCTAGACATTGCACTAAGCAACTTTACCCAAATTTACTCATTTAATTCCCATAATTACCTTATTAACCAGAAGTTATCGTATATCTTCTTTGTAAAGATAAGGAAGCTGAGCCTTAGATCTTGTCCAAAGTCACACAACTATGACTGTCACAGAGCCAAGACTTAAGTCTGGGCAATCTGACCCCAGAGAACTTACTTTAATTCACTGCTGCATTTTACAGTTTACAAAGTAGTGTCTCATGTATCATTATGTTGACCATTGCAATAATTGTAAAGTAGATATTAGCATCTCCTGTTTACATTTACTGCCCTTCAGAAAGGTGAAGTATTAGTTGAAGTTTACAAAGTTAACCTTCTAACCTATTGTCCTTCCCTATGACATAACAGTGGCCATGTACAAAGGCATTAAAAAACTTTAGGCTAATGGGTGAATTGAAGACTACGTTTTCTCATAAGCGGTGAGCTGCGCTGAAAGTGGTAAGCTGCAATTGAGCATTTAGAATGCTGTGGGTCAGAGCAGATGTTAACTCTAGCAGTTGTAATTCTGCTATGGCTAAAAACACTTTGTGCCCTTACTCAAATTCCCTCTAGTTGGTTTTCTTCTGTCTAAAACAGGAACGGTAATCCTTTTCTCTGATTAGAAAGGAAGCACACAGAAACTGTTCTTATCAATTTGTTTTGGTTTCTTTGATGCTTGAAATATTGCTGGAAATATTGAGAAAGCACCTTGAGCTTAGTTACCTTTTTTTTTTTAAAGCAGGGGGGAGGGGAGGTGGAGCACAGGGGAAGGTAGAGTAGAGCTATGGTGATATGGTTTGATAACAATCACTGTCAAATGCAAAGTGATAAGCCCAGTGATAGAATCCAAGAGGAAAACATCAACTGAGTAAATGATGGTCAAGTCCTTCTTTCCCTCCCACATACACCTTGAGATCAGTAGAACTAATAAGGCTGAATAGATGGGTATTTTTTTTCTTCCTATCATTTCGGAC